GGGAGAGATGCGGCCCCGGGTCCCCCTGGTGGGGACAGCAGGGAGACAGGAGCAAAGCCGCAGAGGCGGGGGCCCCCGCCGCCTGTGCGGCTTTGCTCCGGGGCAAAGGAGCAAAGCCGCCCGGGCAGCGGGGTCCCGCCGCCTGTGCGGCTTTGCTCGGGTCTCCCTGCTGTGCTGGGGAGTCCCCCTCAGCACACCAGGGAGACCCGGAGCAGCTTTTCTCGCCCCGGAGGACACGGTGGCGGGACCGCTGCGCTCTGGGCGGTCCCACCGCTCGCAAGCTCCGGGGTGAGAAAAACCCCATTCATAAGTGCGGATCCGACATAAGTCGGATCTGCGTAAGTCGGGGACTGCCTGTATAACAGTGATCCAAGGATGAAGATGAAGACTTGTCTTTGAAATATGTATACATTTCTCTATTTTCAAACATTTCTATTTGGGACAATATACATACAGCAGCTGCTGGAGGATTTCTACAGTGCCAGAATTTCATCAAATGGATTTTAGCACAATCCACCAGGCTGGAAATTTGTTTGGAATTTGCCGTGACTCTACAATAATTGGTTTTGTACCCAAAACAAGGGCTGGGCTGAGTAGGATTTTAATTTCCATTATTCCACTAAATAAACTTCAGAGTGTAACACCAGTTTCTCACACCCACATAGAGAAGTGGCTCTGTGGAATTAGTCTAGTAAAACATTCTGGCACAAAATATTATAGAAAAGCCCTTTATTTAGCAAGTAACACAGACCAAAGTTACCTCTCAGTTATGTGACTTTAACAATCCCCACTGACTCCACTGATGGCACACTACATGCACATACACACACCAGGGTTTTTAGTTAGGAAGAGGGGTTTTATGAGTCATCTCTAACAGTTTATCCTTAGTCTATTTCCCTGGCAAATTCCCTGTTGCATAACATTTTCCAGTGAATCATCCAGTATTCAATGATTAATGTCTTGTCTTTCACATGCAACTTTTATACAACTTCATAATACATTTCTGTTGTATACTCTTCAAAGTATAATCTTGTTGTGGGTGTTTTTTAATTAAAGTAATTAACCTTTAGTACCAATATCAACATTCCGGCCATATAAGTAAACAAGATGTATTAAATGTCCTCAACTCTGGCATACAACTTTACACAATTACCTCCACTTGGAATCAGTCCTGCAAGTCCCCCATTCACAACTTCCCATTGATATTTCAGGGAGTTCCATGTGCAGAAGGCCTGCAGGATTCCTTTAATTGCTAAGTGTGCATTCCCTGATCCTCACAAAAGAGGACAACTCAGTCAATATAATTCAGTACACAAAAAATAATATGAAATAATTTTGCTAACATGTAGTCTGTGAGTGCCAATGGCCAACACTTTTGGACATCTAAACAAGAATAACTAAAAAGTCACAAGTAAATTAAAAAAAGAGTGCAATACGCATGTAAAAATCAATGAAAACCAACAACCAAGATTCACCTAGAAAACCTTATAATCCAAAGTAAACTCCCCAAAGAATTGTCTTAATGTCAGAGGTGACCACCATATCTTGATCCTTACTTTAACAGTTAGGTTTCAATATATTAAAAGAAATATTATCAATCCACATTTCCAAAAGCTCCTTCCATCAGAATCACAAAGCACTTTACAAACACTAATGAAATTCCCTTTGAGTCACAGTAGTATCTTCCTGCTACAGGTAAGAAAACTGAGGCATAGGGCCAACACTACTGCAAGACATTAAAGTAAAATTCAGACTCAGGTCAATAAATGATCTCAAAACATTAACAAAAAGGCTGAAAATAGTGTCTATGTCTCTTAAACCCAGAATCCTGTGTCTAACAAATGTCTTTCTTAGACCTTATTCTTCCTCCCCTGTGTTCGTAGTATCAATTCTAATGCTTCCCTTAGTTTGGTCTTCAAATAAATGAAAGAGACATATTCTATGCAAATTGGTATTAGATGTGATTATGTGCCTACGTATGTCCTCTGTATACAATGTGATATTCATTTGCTAATTCTTTATGATGATTCCAATCAGATCAGAGTGAGAATGTCTCTCTCATTCAGTGAATCTGTAAACCTCTTCCTATCCCACCACCATTAGCAAACTAAATCAGTAAAACTTGCTCATGTATTAGGATCATTTATATAGCAGCGTTGTGGGGTGACTACCCCCAGGGGCGGCCCATGAGCCTAGGCAGACTAGGCAGTTGCCTAGGGTGCCACCGGCCCGGGCGCCTGATGATGACATCACAGGGCACCGGGGCACCCCATGATTACGTCACGGCCGAGCAGGCGGGGGAGCCAATCGCACCTTCCACCTAGGGTGCCAGCTGCCGCAGCTGGCCTCGAGCCACTCCTGACTACCCCACTCTGGCCAAGGGGTTAAAAGCAGGCTGGAGGGAGCCTGCTCAGAGCCCCAGCCAATGAGGAAAAGGCTCTTAGAAGGAGCCTGTCAAAAAAGGCAGCTTGCTGGGGCAGCCCTGTTATAAAGAGCTACTCAGCAGCTCCTGGGGGGTTGACTAGGGAAGGTGCAGGACTGGTTCCCAGAGAAGCACTCTGGATAAAGCAGTGCTGGGCAGGCTTAGGGGAGCAGACCAAAAGAGGCTCCAGCCTGATATCTGTCAGGCTACAGGCCTTGATATAAGAGCCAGCAGGGCGCAAGTGTCACAGGGGAAGTGGCTAGGGAACAGAAGGCCGTGTTAAGGGAGAATGAAAGAAGGCAGGACAAGGCTGCTGCCAGAGGATCCCTGTGCTGGGACCCAGATTAGTGGGTGGGATTAGGTGCCCCCCACTTACACCACACTTTGCCACCAAGGATGATGGCCATTAAAGACTGCAGCTTGCCCTGAGGTGAGGGGCTAGGTCTTGGCTGCAGCTGGCCATGGGGGCAAGTGGAAGACGGAAGACTGCTGATACCTCCAAAGAGGGGCAAGAGACTAGTGTAGTGAGCACTGCTGTAGGGCAGTATCCTGAAGAAGATGCTGTCCTGGAAGTGACACAGGTCCAGAGTATGAACGTGGAGAGTGCAGTGTGATGAAGGGCAAGACACCAGCGAGAAGGGGCACTCTGCTTAGGATAGGGATGTTGAATTCAGATTAATCGGCTAATCCAATAGTAGATGCAATTTGCATTGACTAGTTGATAAGGGTGCCTCCACCTTTGAAGTGTAGCAACAGCCCCCAAGCAGTCCCCTGCTGGCCCCGTGCTTCCCGCAGTGTTTCAAAATGGCAGCGCCGCATGGAGCCCAGGGTCAATGGGGGAGTCTCCAGCTGGCCCTGGGCTGCACACAGCGTTTCAAAGCCTCAGACCCCAGGCTCCAATCTTATTGGATAGTCGACTAGTCATTCACATCTCTATTTTAGGACAGAGATCATTCCTGGAGCAACTAGCAGGAGGTGTCGTAGCGGTGAATCTCAATCCTGTTACAAGTAGAGTACGTAGCAATGTATATGGTGTTTTTGTAGAATGAAAACATTTCACGCCCTGCAGTTACAATCTGAGCAAGGAGAAGACAAGACCTAGGACAACAGTTCAGCAAAGGTAAGGTGTGGAGAAATGACTGGTGAGATCTGGCTAGGATTACTGGAAGAAATTGATTTTAAGGAAGCACTTGCAGGGGGGGCGAAGATGAGGATGTGCCTGGTGGATTTAAAGTAATGGGATGGTTTCAAACAGAAATGGACAGCCAGAATGACAGTGTAAAGCTGAGAGTAAAAAACAGGAAAGTTTGTTTTAAAAAAATAATAGTGTTCAGGGAGAGAGGGATAGAATCTCCCCATGAAGAGATAAATTTTCAGTGAAGAAGGGAATCTCGGATGACAAGATGGGAAAGAACAGATGGTAATTGGCACTTTCTGTTAGACACTGCAGCACCAGAAGGATGTGCCAAAGTAAATATGTAACAGGCACATTTCTCCTTGCTATTTCAGCTTTTCTGTCAGCAACAACTGAGGCACTTACATTATGCTAGGATTTAAAAGCTGAATTTCTAAATGTCATATCTGTACCCACAACAACATCAAAGTAATTACCACTAAGAGATGAGAAGAAGTAGAAGGGAAACAGTGTTCTCAATTAGAGCTTACTTTGGCACATCCTTACAGTACTGAACTGTTTAACTTGAGAGCAAGTTTTGTCTCACATCAGTTTCGTGGGATGTGTTCAGAACACAGATGCAGTGGTAGTCTTGCTTCATAAAGAAAAATGAGAAGTCTTGTTTAAGTTTCTTTACACCATGTTCAAATGAAGAAAAAATCAATTCTGTTGTAGACTAGAACACAATTAAGAAAAAATTATTTGGTGTTATAAGAGAACAAATAAATCACATTATGCAAACATCCCATTCACATAGATCATGGTGCTCTTAATTAAAATGTATTCAGAGAAAAATAATTTGGGAATTATTCAGATGGGGAAAAATATCGTCAGTATTAATTATGAGTAGATTCAAGCTCTTCAGAAAGTAGCAGGGGACTATTTTCCAAGTGACTTTTCTCTTGGGGCACCTACAGTAATTGGAACTCTATTTGCCATTTTCTGAGTATGCACATTAAAGGAAATTGTTCTTGTTCTGGATTTCGTTATGTGCTGTTAAGAGAAAAGCTTTTTCACAAGCTGTGTCTGACACAGGCTACTTAGTCTCAGTTACAAGGATAACATTTTACTTCTGTCTGCTTGACTATAGAATTCTAATGTTCCTTTTGTAACATAAGAAACCCCCAGTGAAATATATGTATGAGATAATCCATTAATTTTGCTTACAACTAAATATTAAGTTTCCTCTACCCTATACCTCATTTTGTTACCTCGTAAGCCAAAAACTGTACCTTACTGAACAATACCGTTACCCCTGAAGCAAAATTTCCTGAGAACTCTGGTTTTGAGAAGTTAATTAGCCAAACTTTTTCCAAGTAGGTATACTTACCAACTGCAATTAACTATGATGTAATGACCATGTGTGTTTTTAGTGTTGTGTTATAACCTGCTTCACAGTCCTTCTCACACTAAGCTTTTGTGCCTATAAAGTTACTTAAAGGATAATTACATATCTATGGGTTTTGCTAAAAGTAATTTTGTTATATATGTATAATAAGGATGAGAAGATTATACTACAGGACATACTTTTAAGGAAGGATTATAATTAGAAGAAATTAATGGATGATATCATATGTATAGGTTTTAGAATGCAATTATAGCAAAAAACCACACCCCACATTACGTGCATCTACTACAGGTAAAGGTTATATTGGATTTTTGGCTATGTTGGAAGACTTAACTTTTCTATCTACAGTTCCCAGCTGGTAGGGGTTGAAGCCCCAAGACCCCTGTCCCACTTAGCAGAAGCCAGATGTAATACTTAGGGGGGTTATATGCCCCTCTGATCTTTTCTGGCCCCACTTGGTTGCATGGTGCTATCAGGCCCCCTCCCTACACAGAAACTGCTGGAACCAGCAAGCTGGAAGCGATGGCTGGAGTGGCAGCAGCCAACAGCTGGTGCTGCAGAGAGACACTGCTTTCACTCCTGCCTCATCCCAAGGAGTGAAAACAGTGGCTCTTCCTTGTAGTTTCCAGATGTTTGCTGCTGCCTCTCCATGGGAGCTAAGAGCTGCAAATAGGGGCTGCTGAGGGTAAGAGAGCAGGAATATGTGTGACTCAGATTTTTGGGGACGTGACTCTTGTTGGGGGAGGGGTTCAAGCCTTCAAATTGTGCCCCTTCCCCCAGAGGCACCAGTCTGGCAGAAGGCCCTAGCCCCACCACCTCGCCACAGGGCAGATGGCCCAAGGCCCACACACTCCGCAGCCTAATAGGCAGAGAATGGGGAGGAGAATGTGAGGAGCTCCATGGACTACACTTAAATTGTAAAAGAGCCACATGTGCCTTGTGAGCCCCTGTTTTATAGTGATAGACCAAGTGTAACGCTGACAGGGGGAACTGAACCCAGGAGCTCTGGAGCTTAGTGCATGAACTTCTTCAGCAGAGATCGGTAGGCAACCTATGGCTTGTAAGCAATACATGGCTTACCTAGGAGCCAAATATGGCCTGCAGCTTGAGCTCAGCCCCTCTTGTCCCCCCACCTCTCCACGCTCCAGCCAGCAAGATTGGAGCCAGCGCTAGCTTCCTGCAGAGGGGGTGGGGATGGAAAAGCCCAGAGCCAAATTGGGCCAATGGAGCATCGTGAGGCCATGCCTGGGACTAGGGCTGCCAGCTGGTTTAACCAAAAATACCGAAGACTCCCTCACCCCTCTCAAAAAACAACAAGAAAACACCAGTGGAAAAATTCTGTTGAGGGGAAAAAAAAAAGGACCCCAAGAGTTATTAAGCAAAATAAATAAATACATACATAAATAAAATAAAACAGCATTAAAACAGCATGGCCCCTTTAAGTGCGTGCAGAGTCAGAATAGGGATAGGAAGTGGAGAGGTTGAGCACTAAGACCCAGGGAAGGCATTGCTTCTTCTTGATCAGGACTTTAGGCTTTTTGCCGGTGGCCATCTTGTTTTCTTGGTTGAGCCAGAAGGGAGCTTCCCTGCAGAACCAGGTAAGCAGGGGGCCTGGGGGCGAGCCCAGTTGCTGAGTGTGTCGTAGGGTTGCCAGGTGTCTGGTATTTTCGCCTCCTGGCAGGGGAAAAAAACCCCAGAAAATATTGGACATTTTAGGTGTCTGGTATTTTCTGATTTCTTTTACCGGACAGGAGGCAAAAATATTGGACTGTCCAGGTCAATACCGGACACCTGGCAACCTTACCTGGGACAGGAAGCCTTAGAGCAATGTGAGGAGCAAAAAGCCCAAACAGGGCCCAGCCACCATCTGACTGCAGTGTCATAATACTCGTGCACCCTCCCCCCCCGCCTGCCCACTTCAGCCCTGAGTCCATCATACACTCAGACCTCCTGCCCTGAGTGCCTCATATACACCAACCCAGACTACTGGACCCCCACATCCCCAGCCCTCTGCCATAAGATTGACAGAAGACAACCTGAATGCATGCATGAAGCTGGATTTGACTAGTCATGATGTAAACTTCAAAGAAATGTACAAAAAGATGCAGCAGCAGAAGTCCCATTGAATAAAGTCTGTGAGTACGATGATTCATTTATGCTATTATTAATTAATGTCGATTATCAATAATATTAAGTTGTATATTTTCAAATGGGCATTTTTATATGACTCTTTGTTAACCATCTGTTCTGAATTTTGATGTAGTTTGGCTCTTTGGTTTGAAAAGATTGCCGACCCCTGTTCTACTGCTTGAGCAATTAAAGACAATTGGCTCACAATTAAGGCTATAGAGCAGACTCATTCTCTCCCTCTGTAAGTGGTCTAAGTACCAACATGTGGGACAGTGAACTTACGCAAGCAAAGTGTTTATGATACATTTAAGATTGCTAAATTATCTCACTCAAAGAATGACTGTAAAATGAACAATGAGATTAAAATAGAAAGGTCCTCATACATTTACTGTACCAAATGTACATACAATAGAAGTGCTATCTAAATGTAGTACTACAGCAATTGGTTTTAATTACAGTCCAATGGCAATTTCAAAAGTTAAACAAAAATGCCACTACAAAGGTTTCAGACTGTGTAATAATAGGCTCTTTTTTTGGTTCCCTTATGCCAGAGGTTCTCAAATTGGGAGTTGTGACAGGTTATTGCTGGGAGGGAGTCAAGAGCTCTCAGCCTCCACTCCAAACCCCATTTCACCTCCAAGATTTGTAATAGTTTGAAATATAAATTAAAAGTGTAGTTTTTATAAGGTGGGACACACTCATACTATTGCAGCGTGAAAGGGGTCACCAATCCGAAAGTTTGAAAACTACTGCATTATACTGTTTGCTTTCTAGGACAGGTTGAAACTCTCTAAACTGGGACTTTCTGGTCCGGCAACATGTTCCAGGACCAGAGAGTTCTGGTGGAGAGGGCTAGTAGCAGGGAGCCCTGCAAGCTGGCAGGGCAGTGTGGCTTCCCAGTAGGACTGTGGGAGCCCCACACACAGCAGGAGGACAATGCAGAGGCTGCGGGGCCACCTGAAATGGCAGGAGCCAGGCTCTGTAGCAGGAAGCCAGCGTGCAGAGGCAGTGGAGTGGCACTGAGAGCCCAATGCCCGAAGGCAGAAGGGCTACTGGGCACTGCAGCAGGAGCCCGGTGCGCTCACAAGTGGCGCAAAGGCAGCAGAGTTGCTGGGTGTGGCAGTGGGAGCCCGGCAAGCAGAGGCAGTGGGGATGCCTGGCACAGCAGGAGGAACTTGCACAACAGCAGGAGCCTGGTATGCAGAAGGGGCAGGGCTTCCTGGTAGGGTAACAGCAGCTGACAGGGCAGCAGGACCAGTGAAAGGGGAGAGCCAGTTGGGAGGGCAGGAGTTGGGCCAGGGCTGGAGGGGGCTGGTGGCAGAGGAGCCAGAAATGGCCATCCCTGGTCCAGCAAAATTCCTCATCCAGGATGGGTCAGGTCCCGAGGGTGCCGGACCAGGGAGGTCCAACCTGTATTACCTTTCAGGAGCTTTGTTCCAGATCATGTGTTATGATAGTGATTTTAATGAAAGCTGCAAATGCAACATTATCTTGGCTCAACATGACTCTGAAAAAAATAGTTCCATTGCATTGACTGAAGCAAAGAAATTATTTCCTCTCTTTCGCCTCAATGGTTTGCTTTGAAATTAGGAGGGCATACCTAGTGGGGTCCTGCAAGAGTCAGTCCTGGGCCCGGTACTATTCAGTATTTATATTAATGCCTTAGATAATGAAGTAAAGAATATGCTTATAAATCTGCAGATGATAATCAAGCTGGAAGGAGATACAAGCACTTTGGAGGACAGGTTTAAAACTCAAAATTACCTTGACAAGTTGGAGAGCTAGTCTGAATTCAGCAAGATGAAATTCACTGAAGACAAGTGACAAGTACTTTTAGGGAAGAAAAGCAAATTGACAACGAAAAATGGTGAATAACTGTGTAGGTGGCAGTACTACTTACAAGGATCTGGGGATTATAGTGGACTGCAAACAGGATATAAATTGTCAATGTGATGCAGTTGCAAAAAAGGCTAATATGTTTCTGAGGTGTATTAACAGGAGTGTTGTATATAAGAAATAGGGAAGTAACTGTCTCACTCTACTTGACAGTGGTGAAGCCTCACACCAGTCCAGTTCTGGGCAACACAATTTAGGAAAGATGTGGACAAACTGGAAACAATCCTGAGGAGAACAACAGAAAATGATGTGGATAAATTGGAGAGAGACCAAAGCTGGCAACAAAAATGATAAAAGCTTTAGAAAACCCGACTTATGAAGACAGTTTAAAAAGCTATCATAGTTAACACTGAGAAAAGAAGCCTGAGGGGGAACATGGTAAGACTTCCAGAATGACAAGGGCTGTTATAAAGAGGACTGGTGATCTTGTTCCTCATGGCCACTGAAGGTAAGACAAGAAGTAATGGGCTTCATCTGAAGCAAGGGACATTTAAGTTAGATATTGGAAAAACTTCCTAACTGTAAGCGTAATTAAGCACTGGACGAGGCTTCCAAAGTAGGTCATGGAATCTCCATCACTGGAAGCTTTTAAAAACTAGCTGGACAAACACCTGTCAGGGATAGTCTAGGTTTAATTGGTCCTGCTTTGGCACAGAAAGCTGGACTCGAGGACTTCAAGGTCCCTTTTAGCCCTAAATTTCTATGATTCTGTACTAGGGTAGTGTCCCAACCAAAAGCTGCACACATGATTCCTACTAGCCAGCTAATGTTTAAATTAAAAATAGATATTTAAATTGGAATATACTGCACTAATCCTGAACAATATAGCAACATCTTACCTGTCTAAGTTGAACTATGAATCCTCTTGTCTAAACAAAACAAAGTTTCAGTATCATTTCTGTGTCTCTATAGTTCTCATTATTTCATCTCTTCTTCCTACTATAATATTCCCCAAAACATGAAATATATATACATTTTATAAAAAAGTAGCATCAAGACTAGAGCTTCCATTTAGCAAGAGTGAATCTGTTCCACTGGATTCAAATCTCCAGTTGCCATTTACACTTTCAAGTGTCAGAATTGTGGACAAAGCCTGTCTGCACTTGAAAGCTGTTGCAGGTTTTGTGTATCTGCATTAAGTGATGCAGAGCGCTGGCTGCACAAGCAGTTTGTCAATGCTGCATTGTAATCCCCAGCTAAGCACAGTGCTGCATTGTTTCAAAACAAGAGGTCAGCATTCTGGGCAGACATCTCCTGGTATATTACTTTCTCACTAGATTCTAACTATGTGCAGTAAAAACAATCCCAGAATGCATAAATATGTGATGCTGCAAGGCCTGGCCAAACACTATGAAAGATTCACCAGTATGAATGTGGGGTGGTCTGCAAATGATAATGGGATTTTAAACAGTGGCTTGTTTTCTGCAATGAGAAGCACAACTTTTGTTTCCATGAACTACTCTAGACACTGATGATGTTATCATCACTCCTCCTATTATTACCCTCTGCTTCCCTGGCTTATGAAGTCTCCTACTAGATACTTGGATTGGAGAAAGGACTTAAGTGGCTGCAGATTGACAGTGCAACATGCACTTGGAAGACTGATGGGTACATGGAGGCACCTGATGATAAGGCTGGAGGCTGATAACGAGCAGCTTCTAAAAGATTTGAAATCTAGAAGCCTCTGTTAATTGGCTGAGCCTCAGTCAGGGGGAGGGGCTACCAGAGCTATAAGCCTGTGACTCAGCGACCAGGAACAGCTAACAGGAGAGTTTGGAGAGGGAGTTCTCCAGGTAAAAGAGGAGTAAAAATTGGGACCCTTGTGGTAAACTGGCTGTCTGGAGTGTGTGTTATTTGCAGTGTGCTGAGCTTCTGGTTGGTTTGTTTGAAGGAGCTTCTAAAAGGTTTGAAATCTAGAAGCCTCTGTTAATTGGCTGAGCCTCAGTTGGGGGAGGGGCTACCAAAGCTATAAGCCTGTGACTCAGCGACCAGGAACAGCTAACAGGAGTTTAGAGGGGGAGATTAGAGGGGGAGATTAGAGGGCAGTAGTGACTTCTGACCTTCTTTAAAACATAACTCTTAGAATAATCTATACTCCAGGGCTGTGTCTACACTGGGCCACTTATTCCGGAAAAGCAACTGCTTTTCCGGAATAACTTGCCAGCTGTCTACACTGGCCGCTTGCTTTTCCGGAAAAGCAATGACGATCTACTGTAAAATTGTCAGTGTTTTTTCCGGAAAAACTGTGCTGCTCCCGTTCGGGCAAAAGTCCTTTTCTGGAAAAACTGTAGACAGCACAGTAGTCTTTTCCGGAAAAAAGCCCCGATTGCGAAAATGACCAGGTTTTTTTCCGGAAAAGCGCGTCTACATTGGCCACAGACGCTTTTCCGGAAAAAGTGCTTTTCTGGAAAAGCATCCTGCCAATGTAGACGTGAAAACGCACCCTGCCAATGTAGACGTGCTTTTTCCGGAAATACTTATAACGGAAAACTGTTCCGTTTTAAGCATTTCCGGAAAAGGGTGCCAGTGTAGACGTAGCCCAGAGGTTTAAAAAGAATCCCAGTTTGTACTTAAACTTATTCATTAAAAAAATGGAGACAGAAGCTCAGCAGCAGAGTGGGGGCTATCCTGTTTATTGCGTCGAGTGTAACATGTATGATTACCTGCCCTGTGGGCGGGTGGAATATGTGTGTACCCATTGCAAGGAGCTCCTGACCCTCAGACCGAGTTCGGGCTTTGGAGGCCAGAGTGGCTGAACTGGAGGAGCTCAGGGAGGTAGAGAGCTATGTTGATGAGACTTTCCGGGACACTGTAGTACTGTCCCACCTCCAGTCTGAGAGCCCCAGTGCTCTTAAGGAGGATGAAAGTCTCAAGGGAACAGAGCATTCAATGGGAGCAGAGGGAAATCATCCCATAGTTGGGTCCCTCCTCCCAGAGGATGTTGCGGTATCGTTTTGCACTGAGGATACCTCTGAGGGGGAGGGAACGCCAGTTAGGAAGAGGCAGGTGTTAGTAGTGGGTGATTCGATCATTAGAAACAGGGTATGTTTAC